GCAAAAAACAACTTAACAGCTTTTTAAAACGTTAATGTGTTTGTCTGACTTCCAGTCTTGAAATTTAAAATCTTATCACAGTAACTTTCACACCCAAGGATAACATTTAGTATAAATTAGGGTAAAAGTTTCCGCTCTTTTATATGTCAGATGTGTCACAAAAGAATTTGAAATTATCTTTGATAGAAAACCGATGACACAACTGATACAACATAAAGACTCACTGGTTGATTGGAAGCATTTGTTCTCCACTCCCTGACACTGTAATGTGGAGGAGCACTGACCAGTGGAAGGGTCACAAAAGTTGCATTCTCTGCCATTATTTGACTGAGAAGCAGGATCTGAAACAGAAAAGAAGATAATTTCATTTCAGAACAGAGACCCTTACAACATCAGATTATTCTCTTTATCTTTTTATATTATTCTTTTGTCTTCAATGAGCAGCGTAGTATTTAACTTACTTGGTAGAGTTGCTGAGTTGCAGTTATCTGTGTTGCAGCATTCAGCAGAAGCCAGAGCACTTTGAAAACCCAGGTTGACTGAAAATGTCTGAGGGGTTACGGCTGGACACAGGGAGGAAGTTGCACATGCCTTGTAGATTTGTTTTGTCGTAGTTCCAGATGAAGTAGCTACAAAGGCAAAGTGCAGTTTGTTAATGTTGATGGAACACAAATAGCTTCACAGTGGATGTAATTTAGTGAAAATATTAAATATGATATGAGAAAACATTACCTAGAATGGTAGCTGTAACACACATTGGTTCCAATGAGGAACATGTATTTGCCGTTGTGTTTGAACACGTCAAATCTGTGCAGGTTTGACACAGAAGCGCTCCAGCTGCAATCAGGAGAGAAATACAGAAATGATCATCACAATTTAAATATATAGCAAATATGAGATGTTTTGAAAGTTCATATTGGATTAGAGCAGGTTACAGTTGAGTCAATACTACTCACTAACTTTGGAAAAAAATTACAATGTAAGATAAAAAAAAAAAAAGATTTAAAGCTTTAAATTAGACTCCCTTCTACCTGCAGGTGAAATGAGTGTAGTTACCTGTGGTGGAGAGTGCCCAGAGAAGAAACAGAGAAAACAGCAGCTTCATTGTGATGAACAGGTCAGTTCTGCAGATTAGTTTCCCTGGACTGTGATACTAAAGCTGAGGAGCACCACTGCACTTTATATACTGAACAGGTGACATCAGGTTTGGGTGTGTTTACATTTTTACAGCATGATCATTCATACAGTCAAGTCTTCTTTCGTCAAATCATGATGTCAAAGCATCTTACCACACCTTTCTTCTTCAATTCAACAACAAGTATTCATGCATCAAAACAAGCTCAGAAATTTTCTTTTACGTTGTTAACTTTTCATTAAATGAGAATGACTTCATGTCCTGTTTTATTAGTCATAAATGACACAATTTAGATTTTGGATAATGGTAAATGGACTTCTTTAACAATGGTCCATCATTTATCGCAGGAGTTACGTTTTGGAAACAACCTGCGACCGATTAAATCTGCAAAGTAGCCAGCTTTATTTTTTAAAATTATTATAGATGTTTTAAGGCTGTAAAACCCCTCACTACACATTTTATACACTGAGGGTTTTTTGAGTTTATTATATTATTTATCATTTCTAGTCTTTGGTTTCTTTGTTAGAGTTCTGTCTTATGGTTTATGTCTCTGTGTAATCCTTAGTTGCTGTCTTCCCTGTCTGCTATATCCCCTGTCTGCTATATCCCCGTGTCCAGTCAGTGTCTGTGTCTGCCCTGGTCCCACGTCTCTGTTCCCTCTGTTGTAGTGCCTGCCTGTGAGTCTGCAGCTGTGTCCCAAAACGTCGGCTGCATCCTCCGGAGGCCGCATTTGAAGGCCGATTACGTCACAGTCAGGCGACGAAGGCTGTCCCAATTTGTCGACTCCTTCAAATGCGGCCGACAAATGCGTCCTTCATTTCCCCGAATTTGAAGGATGGGTCGGTGTGTCCTTCGTGGCCCACCATATCCCAGAATTCATAGCGTGGCCCAGCCAAATTTCAGCTGCCAACAATGGCGGCCGCTGCTAAGTTTTAAAATTAGTCTTATTACTCTTTCTGGGTCACAAAATAAACTTTTAACATATTTTCTGGTGAGAATGTAGCTGTTTAAATCTCAAATATCTGCTTGGTTTATCAAGACATCGCATATTTGCAAAAGTGCGCTGACGTTTTTGGAGACGTCTGTTACCCACCTGCTCGATAGCAAGCCGGGGGTTTCAGTGGTCACTCGAGCCGGCGAGAACAGCGGACTCGTGGCTTCATCGTTTTCAAATCCCCGCTCTTTCGCTACTCAGGTTAAACATGATATATAAGTCACTCGGATAACTTAAAAATGTAATTGTTTGCCTTTTTTTGGTTTTATTTGTTCCTGAGTAAATCGGTTTGGCTGTGATTAAAGTTATAGTTTTTACACAGCTGAATAAACGTCAAGCAGACAACTGATTATCAGAAGTGTGAGAT